CTTACTTACTTGCTTATGCCTGCTATCCCTTATGGGGCATAGGCCGCCAACAAGATTCCGCCAGGCCCCTCTATCCTGGGCAATATTTTCTATCTCCTTCCAGTTCTTCCCCAGTCTCTTGACATCTGCCTCTAAGTCTCTCCGCCAGGTGTTCTTTGGCCTCCCTCTCTTACGTTTTCCTTGGGGGTTCCAGGATAGGGCTTGCCTTGTGATGTTCTTATGTGGCTTGCGTAGAGTATGCCCTATCCACCTCCTTCTTCTCTGTATTATTTCAGTTTCTATTGGGGCTTGGTTGGTTCTTTGCCACAGATTGATGTTACTTATTTTGTCGGGCCATCTAATCTGGAGGATGCATCTCAGACAAGAGTTGACAAATGTCTGGATCCTGTTTATTGTGGCAACAGTCATCCTCCATGTCTCGGAACCATATAGAAGCACGGCCTTGACGTTGGTGTTAAAAATCCTAACTTTAGTCTGTGTTGTTATTCCCTTGGACTTCCAGATATTTCCAAGTTGCAGGAATGCTACTCTTGCCTTTCCTATTCTTGCCTTTATATCATCTTCTGTTCCTCCTTGTTGGTCCACTACACTGCCAAGGTACGTGAAATGTTCAACTTCCTCTATGTCCTGACCTTCTATATTTAATGGAGCATGTGATGATGTGTTTGCTCTTAGGATCTTTGTTTTTGTGATGTTGATGTTGAGTCCTATCTGTGCTGATGTTTCTGCCACTGTTGTTATTTTCTCCTGCATTTGTGCCTGAGTATGTGATAGGAGTGCCAGGTCATCCGCAAAGTCGAGGTCATCTAGCTTTGACCATGGTGTCCACTGTAATCCATTTCTTCTATTGTCTGTGGATGATTTCATTATCCAGTCTATTGCAAGAAGAAACAGAAAGGGTGACAAAAGGCATCCCTGACGAACTCCTGTTTTTACTTCAAATGGTTCTGTCAGTTGTCCTCCATGTATGACCCTGCATGTCAGGTGTTCATATGAGTTGCGAATGATATTCACCAGTTTACAAGGGACTCCATAATGTCGCAGAAGTTTCCATATTGTCTCCCTAGGTTGATTACCGTGCATAATAAATCCCTAGCTATATTTTTTTTAATAAACTAATACGACGGTCATAAGTGAACAAGAACATAAGTGGATAAGAAATATGTGAACAATGTCCAATTTTTATTTTTGTAAAATTTATTTTAAAATATTTTTATATGTAAAACTGTTCATTTTATCCATGTGAAACTATAGTACGAGGGGCACTTCAAAAGCTCTGAGAACTATTTTATAAAAAGCTAAACGTTTCACGGAAATTTTTGAGTTTGATATCATTGGAAAGATTAGAAAAATATACACATATTGTGAAGTCACTTTAAAAATTTATGACGTAATAATTCCGAAAATGACGTCAGAATATAGAATGTTAAGCATACTGAAAAGTCGCGTTTTTTATATTCATATGAGACGATAGTAAAAATGCTGCAAAGGGCTAATTTGAAAAGAAATATTTCAAAGAAAAGTTTAATTTTAATTTGCACAGAGGTATAGTAAGACTATGGTGTTGTTTATCAGCAATTTTCTCATCATATGAAATTCCTCTCGTAACTATCACTAAATCAAGCTTTATTTTATTTTGATATCACAACCACACCGGTGAAGATGGACGTATGTTATACAGAGCTTGGTAGCGAGAATAATAACGTAATACTTCGTCTAATGCAGGGATATAAGATACGAAATAAGTTTACAATTATAGTTGTATAATTCAGTGCAGTATACAAACAACACAGATGTTGCAGGAATGCTACTCTTGCCTTTCCTATTCTTGCCTTTATATCATACCACACAGATAAATTTATGCTGAATAAGTTATTAAAGAAAGATATTGTCATACAGAAAAAAAAGTTTTTTGAGGAAAGTCTTTTTCTTAGCTTTATGGTGACATGAACAAAGTTTTTATCTACATGTATCTTTTTAGCTAAATCTACAGGTTGTAATAAATAAATATTTTTGTTAGGTAAATCTAAAAATAAAAAGTGGTCAAAGCTCGATAAATTAAGGATTAAGCTTTTAAACATAATATAAACAACCGCTTCTTTAACAAAGGGAACTCGGAAATTATTTTTGTATCTTCAAAATCTTGTGATGGGTCATCCACGAAGCTATACCTGTTAATGAAGACGTTATATATCTAGCTAGCTAGCCTTAAAGCTTGTAATTTTAATTTTTGTAAGGTTATTTGTTTTTTTTAATAAGGCAATTGTCAAACTCATACAAAAAAGTTTTATACCTCTCCATGAACATTCGACTTTAAAAACGGAAGTTTGCGTCATTGTGCGAGCTGTAACTTCCTGTCAATCGCTGTTGACAACACAGCCGAGTTGTATTATTTACGATCGCGAATTTCTTCGGAAAAATTGTTTCACAAATGTTTAAGAACTGTTTTGTGTTCCAATGGTTTCAGAGAATTTTCTACTCCATTTGATTACAAGGATTATTGTATGGTAATAACTTGATTTTGACGTTTGTTTATCAGTCGTATTCTACTTCCTCAACATCTAGTCATATATATAAAAAAGAGTTGTGCGTAAAGGTCAGGATAGAGGTAAGACTTTGTTTCATCATTTCAAAAAAATGAAGATAAGGAAATCATCATAATTTTGTTAATGCATATCTATAGAATTTTGATGAATTGTTTCATGTGTAAATTGGATGTCAGGTAATTTAATTTCAAAATGAACATACTTTGTTGCAAAAGATTTCTTGTCTTTAAGTAGCAAATGTATACATGGTATAACATAACATCAAAAAACGTCATATATTTTCGAAAAATATATTCTCCCCATACAGAAAAAATAGATTTCTTAAAATCATAAATTAGTACTATTGAATAATATCCAAAAAATGTATCAAGCATTTTTTTGTGCAGAGGGATTATAGAAAGAAAATGTATTTAAGATGAGAAAATTTAGAATACCCCTTATTTATTTAATTTTAACGAAAGCATCTGAAAAGTTTTCGTTTATATGTTGAGATATGGCTGAAAAAATCATGAATGCTGTTTTGGGGGGCTGCAAAATTAAATTCAATGGGGAAAATATAATTATTTTTAATCGTATCAAACATTGCTCTCAATAAAGCCACTGACAAGAGATGTTTTAGATAAGATGCGAGTTTGCATTGGACGTGTACATCATATTTACTGTGAAGTCTGGGATAGACAAGCAACCCAGACATTTAAAAAAGATAATTTTTGATCAATATTAAGGCCCTGTCACACCAACTGCGTTCACACGAAGTCATTACGGCGTTGTTAAATTTTTAAAATCGCCGTGTAATCGCAGGGAAATTGTACAAATTTCTGTAAATATTTCACAATATGAAGATGTCACGGCGTCCTTGCGGCGACGGACCCGATTCTACGGCGATCTAACGGCGTTCTACTGCGTTCCCACGGAGATCTCTCGGCGATTGACTGCGCTTCCGCGGAGTTTTCACGGCGCGTTAGGAGTTTTCAACCTCGTGTTCACGGCGTTCTCACTGCGCTTGACTGCGTTCTCAACACGTTCACAATGCGCTCTATACTCATTGATATATATTCAGAAGGAATGTAACACATTTTTGTTTAAAGATTCAAGTTACACGATGAAAAGACTTCAAATCATGCCAAAAAATATTAATACTAGTAATCAAAAATGTTCTATATTTAAATAATTTAGTACTAAATTATTAATAGTTTTATGAATAAACTTCTTTTTTCAATTTCATCGGTTGAGTTGTGTTGATAGATTTTCTTTATTTTATTTTTAATGTAAAAAAAAAAATAAACACACCGAAAAGTTTTCTACAAATTTTTATATTGAAACAACAGAACAAGATCTTGTGTAATTTTCTCTTCCATTTTTTTTTTCACATAAATGCTCCTAGTGTAATAAATACGTTTGACGTCGCGCACGATGTTGGTGTTAAAAGGTAAAAAATTACTATTGCGGCGGCCTTTGCCCTATTTTCATAATTTTAAACAATTCACCATATGAAAACTATATATCATTCGGTTGGTAATTGTAATTTTGACGTTACCGAAAATGACACCAACACCGTGCGCAACGTCTTTAAAATATAGCTAATCAAATATGATCCCATTGCTCTGGTTTTGTGAGCCGGCTGACAACGCCGTGAAAGCGCATTATGATCGCCAAAGGATGCTGTAGAAACGCCGTGGGAGCGCAATGACCGCAGTGACAACTCCGTGCTGTCGCCGTGTAATCGCAACCGAAAAAATCACAAGACGATAAATCTCATTAGAAGCGCCGTAAAAACGCTATAGAAACGTAGTGACATCTCCAAGGACTCCGCGACATCTCCGTGAGGTCTCCGTGGAAGCGCAGTCTAGTATCACAGCGTTCATGCCGCGATCATGTGCGACTTCACGGCGTTTATACGGAGCTCCCATTACGTTGTTGGAGATCTCACCGCGCTGCTACGGCGAGCATACTACGTTTCTTCTGCGTTCTTATCAGACGGCGATCACACGGCGCGTACTTTGTGCATGCTCAAAGTGATCGCCGTCCCCCGGCGTTCTTGGAGACCCTACGCGACCCTACGGCGTTCAGTGGAGATCTCGCCGCGTTGTCACGGCGCTGTAGGAGACTCTACTGCGATCACCTCGGCGTTTTGCATTTTTTGAGGACGCCGTGCAGTCGCCGTGAAGACGCAGCCCCGGTGTGACAGGGGTTTTATGTAGATCTACACGTGTCAAATACACGGAGAAAAATTAAATAAAACCCATTAAAGGCGTGCGTCTTTTTTTCAAAATAGAATGTGCCCCTGATTAATGAAACTATGCTTAAAATTTATTTTGATTAATTTTAAATGTTTAAGTGCTTTAAAATAATGGAAACGGTAGATGGCAAAAATAACAGATAAAAAGATATTTCATATTATGATGAAACCCCTGAAGGACTTTTCATAATAAAAATGTAATGCTTTGTCTGTTTTTGAATTGGACTCGAAAAATAATACTTAAATTTATTGAACGTATGTTAAACTAATTCTTATCTCTAAGTCATTTTATTTTGATATCACATGCACGTTAAAGTAAAAAGAACAAATCAATTCATACGGGAAGATATCTATTAAAATATTTAGAAAATAAGTAACAAAAAATGAGACATTTCCTTTGTTTCATTCTTCATAATCTTATCAAAATTCGTTACTTACGAAGCATAAATATGTACCTAGAAGGGAGGACTAAAGGAAAATTTAAAAAATGCATGAAAAAGTATTTCTTTTTTTTATTACAAAATAATGCTTAGAAAGGAAGCAGGAAGTGATGGCAATTTAAACTCACACTCATGTGACGGCTAACACGACCCATGAAAACTAACAGCTAGGTTTAATACCATGTGTAATAAAATTTCCTTGTTCTCTTTGATTTTACGATATATCAATAAGACGGGCATACGAAGAAAAAGGCGAACGCTGTACTTTTATTATTTTTATAAGATTTGGCAAAAAAATATTTTTAAATGTAAAACTTTATTTTGTCAATGTGTAAAGTTCTATTCCATGAAATAGACCTCATTCGATGAAATAGTTACTAAAATTTTAAAATAAATATAAAGCACATCGTAACATAAAACAATGCTAATAAATACAATGTCTCCATTACACATGCTATATAGTTCATGCCCGTAGGAAGCAATTTCAGTCTGGGGGCACAGCCATATATATTAAGTTGGGTGGAATACCATAAACGATCTAAAGATCCCTGACCAGAAAGAAAAAAAAATCATCATTAGGCCTTTTATTGAAGGACAACAACCATAGAATAGCTATATTGTCTACAGTATATTCTTTATAATTATTTGGGCCACGCCAAAGTCTGAATTGGGGTTTTTTCGGGTACAATACAAGCTAACATTATCTGCTGCTCTTTGACGTCGTTCTACGTCGACTGTTTTCTTTTTTCAATGAAGATTACCTATCCTCTGAAATACTGAAGTAGGACCATAGTCCATAATCCCTATTTTGCAGTCTAATTGTTTCGATAATTTTGAAACAAAACATATTTGATATTTTTATTTAAATCAATTAGTTAAATTATCTGTTCTAAGTTTAGTAAGATATGACGTAACTAAAAATTTAAAGTAATGACGAAGCTCTTAGGAAAATTAAAAAAACCTCATGTACATTTCTTTTCCTTGAAAATTTATCATGTTTACTGAAAATGAAATATGGAGATAGCACACCGTAATCAATCTCATATTACAAGAGAGCAGAACATATACAGACAGTGTGTTATGATTGGAAAAATGAAAAATATGGAGACAATGCAATTGCGTAAAAAATGGCTTAAGGATATAGAACTGATCCTCAGCCAGGAAGGATAACTCCAAAAGTTAATATTTAATTTGAAATGCATCAAAATGAAGCTTGAAAATTAAATTTTTTCATGCAACAATTTTAACACTTTTGTTGTAAGATAAGACAGGTAAATCGTAATGGTTTAGGTATGATGCAGTATCATGCAATTCTGTATTTAAAAATATGAGATATTTTTTTACCCTAATGGGCCTCAAACTCTGATATTTTTTTTATAGAACCGTTTTTGGCATTTATCTAGTAAATGCTAGTAAGACAGGAAAAGCTTAAAACAAAAATTTCAGTCCTTATTGCCTTCATTCTTATTTTATCTTTTTTGTCAGAAAATTTGATTCTCCGTGCACCCGCTAAGATGTACTCTATGTGGATCCAATATTGTTTGTATGAGTTTGGACGGATGACAGTATTAGTTATAGCATTGTGTGTGTTGATCTTTTATCTACTGAAATGGACAAGAAACTCTCAGGTCAGTTTGTGTCTAATTTTACATGTCTAAACTATCAAATCACTAATTTATGCTGTTTGTTGAAATTGAAACTTTGGTTGAAGTAATGTATGAGAAGATAGGAGATAAATAAGATATACACTGTTTTCTACGAATGTATTATATAAATCTATCTCAGAAAAATTGGTTCATGAAATTCATGCATATTTACTTATCCATATTTTACATGTTATACACTATAGGTTTTCAAATAAATCAATAATTCCTTTTTAAAGCATGGTAATCTGTGGTTCAAAGCAGTAGCGATTAGACTAAAAGCCAAACTCAACAAAAGGTTTGCGTCAGTAAGTAAACCTTCACGGGTCATATATAAATGATTGAAATTCCAAAGAAAATCAAGAATAGAAAAAAAGATACGATAAAAGAAGATAAAAAAGTGTGTAGCAACACATTGTCTTAAAACAGAAATAAAATCCAGGTTTTAGGATCATTTTTGTGCTTTCACTATTAAAGAAGATATTATTATTCGAAAAAATATATGTTCAAATTTTGTTTTAAATTGACATTCATAATTAAATAAAGGAGGGATGGTAAAATATATAAGAATGATTTTTATGATTATTCATTTTACAGTTCTTTCAAATGATGAGAAATGTCAATTCCAAAACATCGCCACATAGATACAAGTCTACTCCAGAAACAACAAACCTTGCTCGGGTAGCGAGACTAATCCTTGGTCCATGCACAGATCTGCTGCGTGATATTCTCAAAAGAAAACATCCACCTTCCAATTTATCAAAAACTGTCAAAACTTGGGTTGATGATCTGAAAAGGAACAAAATAAAGAATCCATTGAATAAACAACAAATTGCTCTCATCTTTCCCCTTCCAACGAAAAATTATGGCGGGGATTATTCAGATTTTGACATTAGTTTGTTGTACATTCTTCTACGAAACGTGTGTAAAATAATTCCACACAATAAGGGATGGGGAGAAGAACCCGATCCTACGGACAATAGTGTATCTGCCAACATAGAAAGAATCAGACTGACAAGAAACAAGTACTATGGACATGCAGGAGATTTCTCTCTCACACAATCTAACTTTTTAAGGGAATGGCAAAACATTTACAATATCACTGTTGAGTTAGAACAACATATTGGAACTTTGACTGTTTACCAAGATGCTGTGAACGATATAAGAACATGTTCCATGGATCCAGAAATAGAGGCCAAATACATTGATAAACTTTTACTTATCGATGAATTGTGTGAAACGGTTAAAAGTCACACAGGTGAGTTTACTTTTAGGTAATTTGAAACACCCAGGTAACCAATATTCATTTTCTTGCCTCTTCGTCCTTCGATCGTAGACATAAACTTGTGTTATTTTTTTGTTTTCTGTGTCAGTGATGTAGGCCTGCTCATATATTCCTCAAGATCATGTGCAGCATATCTTATTTATTGACTATTTCTTTAATGTAAATAATATGTATACCACCAGATGCACCCAGATAAAAACTGTATATCTTATCAAGATGTGAACAAAATATCAAACAAAGAAATCCTTGTCTTTCAATGAAACGAGTACAAAGAAGTCCAAACAAACTTTTGGCTGATTTTTCCCGAGATATTTATTTTATCGTTAGAATTTGATCCTTTAATAGTTGGAACTCTCCGTTTCACAAAATAATCTAATAAATAAAAGCCCCATTATCCTCAAATTTAATTAGATAATGACATTAAGATTGGAGTAATAAGATCCCTTTGATAAGGAAGTGCATAATTGACCATTTAAAAACTAATTTTCCTGATATCTTCTAGACGAAATTAAGAAACTACAGCAAGATATCCTTCCAAATGTTAAGGGTACGTACAAATCTTTATACATGATCATAGATTTAACAAAGAAAAAGTAATAAGTTTATGGGTTTTCTGTTGTTTTAGATGTTTGATAATTTGAATCCGAAAAATATAAGACATCTAAGATTTTAGGTATAAATCTGTTAGCATTTACAATTTTAATATTAAATATCTAAGCATTTTGTTAATGACACCTTGCATGGTCTATTTGCAAACTGTAGTTAATAAATAATAAAAAGAAAACTAAAATAAAACGTTTTTTTTTTTCAGATGAAATTAAGAAACTACAACATGTCATTCCTCCAAATGTTAAGGGTATGTACAAATCTACAAAACATGTATGATTGTGAAATTTACTATGAACAAATTATTAGATTTGTCTTTAGGTATTCTGTTTCAAATATTTGATAAATTGATTCATGAAAAATATTCACATAAAATGTTTTATATCTAGCACTTTGATATCTGTCTCCCATTTCAACAACAGCTGGGCTCTGCTGGTCAAAACCTAAAAATATTAATCTTTTAAACATTAAATGAATTCAGTTATATGAAAGTAAGCAAAGTGAGAGATCCGTGTCAATTACGTTTTAGACTTGAAATTCCAGCTGCATAGGGATAAGTTGGTCATAATAAGAGGAATTCAAGTTTAATCAACCCAGATGGAAGCAAGTATGGCCTTCCATGAATGTAATATTATGTCTACGGCGGATGTTTACTCCTCCATGCCACCTGATCCCAGCACTGATGTTTTGGAGCTCCGTGTTTGCTATGCTCCTTTTTGTATTATTATTATGGACTTTTGATCTTGAAAATTAATCGTTATATCCATATCTTTTATTTGAATTAACAATAGATACTTAAATACATATATCGACTCAATTCACCCCTTCAACATGACACAAGAGGCCCATGGGCCTTATAGGTCACCTGAGCACCATGCAACAACTTTACAACGATTGAATTTGGTTCATGTTTTAAACTAGACATCATGGCATTCACAATTTTGAAAGAGGCACCATTCCTAATCTTAACTATACATTTAGCCTGTTTAGTTTGGTTACTTAATACCCATAGACAGAGTAGGGGAACAAAAAATCAATTTCGACTAATCAGTAATATTCAGCAATAATCAGTATAGTGCCACTACCACACATGAACCCCTGACCCTTGGTCCACACATTTCACAATTTTGGAAAAGGCATTCTTGCTTATCAAAAATATTTGATTAATACAAAGGAGAAGACTTCAATCACTTTATTCATTTTCAGTATATAAGTAGAGCCACCCCCTCCCCCTATAGTACCCCTGACGACCCAGGGGCATTGAAATTCACAATTCAGGAAGAATGGCCCTTGCTCATTAAAGCTATATAAGTAGTTCATCTGCTTTAATACCCAGCAGCAGAGAAGAAGATTTTCTAATAATTTCTGCATTTTCTCTATATAACCAATAGAGCCCCGCCCTATCAACAGAACCCCTGACCCTGATGTCATAAAATTCACAAAGGCATTCTTCTTCATCATAACTATGCACTTAGTTAGTTTATTTAATACTCAGGAGCAGAAAAGAAAATTTTCATAGAATTAATGTATTTTCACTATATAATCAATAGAGCCCTCCGTAACACCAGAACCTCTAACCCAGGGGCCATAAAAATCACAATTTTGGAAGAAGCATTCTTGCTCATCATAACTATATACTTAGTAAATTCGTTGAATACCCAGCAGCAGAGAATAAGATTTTGAAACAATTTCTGCATTTTCTCAATATAATCAATAGAGCCCTGCCCTAACACCAGAACCCTATGACACCGGAGTCATAAAATTCACAATTTTGGAAGAAGCATTTTTGTTCATCATAACGATAATATCTGCATTTTCTCTATATAATCAATAGAGCCCCGCAGTAACATGAGAACCCCTGACCCTTGGGCCATAAAATTCGCAATTTTGGAATAAGCATTCTTGCTCATCATAACTATGTCCTTAGTTAGTTTATTTAATACACAGGAGCAGAGAAGAAGATTTTAAAATAAATAATGTATTTTCACTATATAATTAATAGAGCCCCACCCTAACACCAGATCCTCTGACTCTGGGGACATAAAATTCACAATTTTGGTAGAGGCACTCTTGCTCATCATAATATGTCCTTAGTTAGTTTATTTAATACCCAGGAACAGAGAAGATTTTAAAAGAAATAATGCATTTTCATTATATAAACAATAGAGACCCATCCTAGCACTAGAATCCCTGACCCTGGGGATATGAATTTCACAATTTTGGTAGAGGACTTAATGGACATTACATTCATACTAACAGTTTGACTGCTTGATGTCCAGGAGCAAAGAAGAAATTTTTAAAGATTGCACTAATTTAGTGGTTTTTCTCCCACCCCTTAGGCCCCAGGGGGGCAGGGTCCATGAAATTCACAATTTTTGTTTCCCTCTACCCATACATGCTTTGTGTAAAATTTGATGGAAATTGGTTAAGTGGTTGCAGAGAAGAAGCTGAAAATGTTCAAATGTTAACATACAACGACGGACGAAAACGGATAACAATAGGTCACCTGAGTTTACTCAGGTGACCTAATAAAATACACCACAGAATCTGATAAATCTGACACATCTGTTTTATATTAATTTGTTTAAATATTAGCCTTCTTGAAAATTCGTACACTGGATTATCTTGGCCTTAATTGTACTTGTGTCGGAATGATATTGAAACAACTGAACAAAGCTTTCTTATCAAAATTTAAATTGGGAAATGGATTACTGCAGTATCTAGATGGAACATGACTATTTTTATATGCAATCAATTTCATGTAATTAGCTCAACATTATTAAAAATCGAGCATAGGGGCTTTTAAAATACGTTATTACTCACTTAGAGGTTAAGAAAACAAACAGTGGTCAATCTTATATATGCATTTCACAAAAAACCATGAATTTAGAATAAGAGTTAAAAAAAATTGTATTTAAAAATTGTAAATGAAATGAATTTGAAACTAGTAAGATAAAATGATACATTTTTAATGCCGGGTACCTCAACCACAAAACATTACCTCCAAAGAGCTTCTTTCCAACTACATAAAAATGTTACATAAAATACAACAGTCATACATAATAAACAAGAAACAATTTAAAAAATACATCACATTACTAAAATATCACTATTACAACATGACACTTTACAATGACATAGTATTATATAAGACCAACAAATGAATAATATAACTTGAGCATTATATTGCAAATTTTGAGAACAACTCTCTCTCTCTCTCTCTCTCTCTCTCTCTCTCTCTCTCTCTCTCTCTCTCTCTCAAAATATTTTTTTCAATATCTAAAATATACTAGTATCTGTGTATTTCCAATAATGGGTGTATGTACTTGCAATTTGTGTAAAAGTACAAAATTTTAAAATTCCCAAATGACCATGAATGTACATTGACCTTTTCGTCTTCCTGTTTGCTTTTAATTCACTGGAATCATTTAAGTTTGCTATAATACGAGGGCTATTCATTAAATAGTGAGACTTCTTCAATAAAGTAAGAAATAACATATGATTCTTCTCTATTTTATTTACATCCCTTCAAAATAATCACCCTTTACTTCAACACATCTTTGAAGTCGTTTATCCAGCTTTGGAACGCGCCTCTTTATTCCGAAAGAGGTATACTCTTCAGACTCTGATACACAGCTGAACCCAATGCAGAACGAGAATGAAAACGCCTTCCAGATAGCATTTTTTTCAATTTAGGGAATAAGAAAAAGTCACATGGGGATAAATCTTGTGAATAAGGGGGTGATCAAGTTGCTGAATTCCATTTTCCAACAAGAAATCTTGCGTGTACTTTGCAGTGTGTGCTGGGGCATTATCATGCAAAAGCTTGATCCCCCTCATTCCCGACCTTGGCCTTCTGTTTTTGTAGTGTTTTTGTACCTCAGACAGTATCTTTTTCACGTAAACAACTTTAGTTACACTTTTGCCCTTTTTAATTGGAATCTGAGCGACAATCCCGTTAGAATTGAAAAAGATTGCATATAAAACCTTCCTTGCTGTTTTGCCGCGTTTAGCAATGGTAGGTCGTTTACTTTGTTTAAGGAGCCATATTTTGTTTCCGAGCTTTCTCTCAGGTTCATAAAAATGTAGCCAAGTTTCATCCCCCGTGACAATTTCATGTAGACGTCTTTTATCACATTTCCCATAAATTTTCAAAAGTTTTCGTGAAATTTGCAATCGCTTTCTTTTTTGTTCGTCATTTAAAATGTGTGGAATCCACTTTGCAGATACTTTCCTGACTCCTAAATGTTGTTTTAAAATTTTAAAAATGCTACCCGGCCGATGAAATGTTCAGCTTCTTGTCAATCTGGTTCACAGTCACTCTGCCGTCTCTGTCGATGATATTTTTCACTGCTGCAACTGATTTCTCATTGATAATTGATCTTGGCCTTCCTGACTGTTTGATATTTTCAACTGAATCCCTACCACGTTTGAAATGCTTTATCCATCGATAAACAGTTTTGATGGACACAACAGAGTTTCCATATAATGACACGAGTTCTTTTAAAATTTCTTTTCCCTTGATTTTCATTAGAAAACGATATTTGATATACGACCTGATGTTCAAAATGTCTTTTCGGGACTTTCCTTCTGTCTTCATGTTTACAGTGTCCACAGGGTGGGTCGGAAAAAGATGCTCTCTTCGAAAACCGCTTTATAAATAGGTTGTGACTACGTTTCAGATAAGAAGTATGGAAGACAATAAACATTTTAAAGGAGGTTCCATTTCTATTAAGTGTAAAATTTAAAAGGAATATATGTAGTGTCACTATTTAATGAATAGCCCTCGTATATTTTAGATTTTCCTGAAAGACAATTAATACAATGGAGAGAAGAAGATGAGGTTTACAGTGAAACTCACACTTTCCCGGATATGCTGAACAAAGTCCGGACACAACCTTATATGACATTTGTTGGAGACCCAGGGTCTGGAAAATCAGCAACGATTCATCACATAGCCCTGATTCTAGAGAAGGAAGGTTACGAGGCTGTGCCAATTATAGACATCAGTGAGATTTACCGTTATTGTGACCCTCATAATCCCCAGGTTTTTGTCATCGATGATGTGGTAGGTGTGTTCGGTCTGCAAACACAAAAGTTAGAGACTTTAGTTGACTATGAAAAAATTATTTCAGATCCGTCCAGACATACAAAGGTACTGATGTCATGCAGGGAAGCAGTGTTAAATGAATGTTACGAATCCTTTTTCAAAAATGAGGAAAACGTAATCAAAATGTGTAGTCCAGAAAATTCATTGAATGATGAAGACAAAAAAGCCATTTTTCAGAGGCACGGCTTGGATAAAGATTTATTGTCCCCTACATTACTGAGAGAAGCATCGGCGATGTTTCCTCTATTATGTAAACTCATATCAAAAGAGGCGAGTTTTAGGAACAACATTGAAAGGTTCTTAACTTGTCCAACTGCATGCATTTTAAAGGAGTTTGACAAAATGCGGGAACGGAATAGATTACATTATGCTACATTAGTCTTATGCCTGTTAAATAACAATAAATTATCAAAGGAAATATTAAACGACACAGAAAATAAGGTTTTCTACGAAATGAAACAAAAAGCATTAGAAAATTGTGAAGTTGAGAGTTACACGGATCCATTTAAATTTGTTAAAGCATTGTCAGTAATGGAGGGGACATGCACAAAACTCTGTGGTTCTGAATATACCTTTATTCATGACTCCATGTTTGAAATCATTGCTTATCATTTTGGTTCTAAATTCCCAGATCTCATATTTCAATTTATGAGTAGTAGTTACATTGCTAACTATGTAAAGCTTCAAAAATATGAAATGCTTAAATTAGAGAGTGAACTAAAGCAAGCAAGTGAAAAAGTTGCAATCAAAAGTGAGGTTAAAAATGAAAAAAACATTGCTTGTGAAAGTTCACAAAAAGGAGAGAAAGAGGCTTTAAGTGCTGAAAACTGTGATAGAATGGAGTCATTTGATCTCTGTATAAGGATAGGTGAGGATCAGTACTCTTTGTTAGCAGTGCGTTTGTATAGAGATATAGAAAATATGGAGCTGTATGATGTTTTTATGAATAATGTTTTGAAACAGACTAAGGTATGTCAGGCTTTTATTGATGTGTTAGAGAGAAAGTCTTACACAGAGTTGAAGTCTTTATTTTTGTCAGAACAGAAAGACGTGTCTAAAGTAATGAGTAAAGGAAAACGTGTGAGAAAGGAGATTGGGGAGAGGGATAAGAGGAGCAGAGAGAGGCACAGACAGGAGGTGTTGGTGAATGGTATAGGAATAACATACAGTGTGAGGGTTATTAGTTGGGTAGTTTACTACGGACACAGTCAGATTATGCAATATATTTTAGAGCAAACTGATTTGCACAAAGAAACGCAGTCTGAATTTTTTTGGAATTTTTTTCATCTGGATTTCACTCAAACAACAAAACAAGATAAAAAGAATATTGCAGCAAATTATCAAATAGAAAATCCATGGTCATTCAGAGACCCGGACATTAATGGATCCATATCTGAACACAAACGTTTACTTTTGCTGAGTTGTTACAATGGAGATTTAGAAACTGTGAAAATATTTACTAGATATTTCAAAAGAGAAACAATTTATATGACTTATCCAAATTTAGACATTAAATATGTATTAGGAAACAAAACACTTTCAGCCGCTTGTGAGGAGGGACATCCGAGTGTAGTGAAGGAGCTGTTAGAGGCAAGGGCTGATGTTAATAAAAAAGATATGTATCATACACCTCTGACAGCTGCATGTGTGGGTGGACATCTGGGTGTAGTGAAGGAGCTGTTAGCGGCAGGGGTTGATGCCAATCAAAATGATAAGTATGATACACCTCTGACAATTGCTTGCGAGGGTGGACATCTGAGTGTTGTGAAGGAGTTGCTCGGGGCAAGGGCTACTGTCAACCCATATGGTGTTTATAAATTACCGCTGATAGTAGCTTGTGATGGTGGATTTATAAATATAGTGAAGGAGTTGTTAGAGGCAGGGGCTGATGTAAACGCAATTTGAGAGTTTCTATGATATACCACTGAGAGCCGCTGCTGAGGGTGGATATATAAGTATAGTGAAGAAATTGCTCGGGCAGGGGCTAATGTAAATCAACAAGATTACGATGGGTTGTGTAGCCACTAAACGGTGCATGTAGGGGAGGACATCTTGATATAGTAAAAGAGCTGATATTGGCAGGGGCTGATGTTAATCCAGAAATTAAATTTGATACACCATTGACAGCTGCATGTAAGGGTGGACATCTGAATATAGTGAAGAGAGCTGGTAGAGGCAGGTGTTGATGTCAATCTACTAGCTGATGATTGTACGCCACTTACGGCTGCATGTAAGGGTGGACATATAATATAGTGAAGAGAGCTGGTAGAGGCAGGTGTTGATGTCAATCTACTAGATGAGGATTGTACACCACTGACGGCTGCATGTAAGGGTGGACATCTTAATATAGTGAGAGAGCTGCTAGTGGCAGGGGCTGATGTTAACCTAGAAGGTAAGTCTGATACACCATTGACAACTGAATGCAAGGGTGGGCATCTAAATATAGTAAGGGAGTTGCTAGAGGCAAAGGCTGATGTTAATCTACAAGTTGTGTATCATACACCACTTACAGCTGCATGTAAGGGTGGACATACAGACTTAGTGAAGGAACTCTTAGAGGCAGGTGCTGATGTCAATCCACGCGGTAAAATAGATTCACCTTTAACAGTTGCAGTTAAAGTTGAAAATATGATTATATTTAAGAAGCTGCTTAGTGTAGGGGCTGATGTTAATCCACAAGACAAATTTTATACACCTTTGATAGCAGCATGTGAAGGAAAGCATGAGAGTTTTGTGAAGGAGTTGTTAGATGCAGGGGCTGATGTTAATCTACAAAGTATAAAAGAAACACCACTTATAACAGCCTGTTATGGTGGGCATTTGAAAATTGTGATGGAGTTGTTAAAGGCAGGAGCTAATGTTAATCTACAAATTAAATCTTATACAGCACTGATAGCAGCATTTTGGGGTGAACATATGAGTGTAGTGAAAGAGCTTCTAAAAGCTGGGGCTAATGTCAATTTTCTACAAACCAATGATAATGTATTCAGGAAGACTCATATGTTCATCCCCTAAATCTTATTCAACTCTGACATTAGCATGTAAATATGGATATTTGAGATAGTGAAAAAGTTGCTTAAGGCAGGAGCTGAAGTTAATCCTCGGGATGAATATTTCACACCACTAATAGCAGCAATTTGGAAAGGAGATATGAGTATTATGAAGGAATTGCTAAGTGAGGAGCTGATGAACCTACAAGGAGAGTGTGAAACACCAATGATAAATGTACACAGTGAAATAGAAAGAGCCTTTAACAGGGCAGCAATTAAAGGAAAGTATGATACAATATATCCGCATGTCATAGTATAAAGAGTGATTGAGCTGCTGAAGGCAGGGTCCAATGTTAATCACAAGAAAGCATAATACACCGCTGATAGCAGCATGTAATAGGTGGGTATATAAGCATTGTGATAGAGCTGTAAAGGCAGGGGCTGATGTTAATTCACATAGAAACACCACTGGCGAATGCAATAAAATGTAAACCCAGAGCTGAATAGCAGCTTGTTAATTACAAGGATTGTGTGGACAAAAGCATATGAGTATTGTGACAGATCTCTTAAGGCAGGGGCTAATGTTAATCTACAAGAGAAGGGAGATAACACACCGCTGATAGCAGCATGTGATGAGGGGCAAATAAGTATTGTGATAGAGCTGATAAAGGCAGGTGCTGATATAAATGCACAAGGAAAATTTTACCCCACTGACAGCAGCATGTGAGAAGGGGTATATGATAATCTCTAAAAAGCTGCTAGACGCAGGAAGTGATATTAATATGCAGGATAAGGAAGGAAACACTCCTCTTTATAAAGCTTTTGTAAACATACATAAAACTTTCATTCCTGTTATACTAAGAATGTTTTATTTTTATGGTGCAGACTCAACTATCAATAATAAAGAGGATATATCAACGGTATATATTGCATTAATTAAAAATGAAAATGGTTCTGTAAACAATTATTAAGTACAGAGAATGAAAGTCAGTCAAATAAACTGAGGTTACATTTGTTTGAGTGTTTGGTAGACATAAGACACAGTGACGTGATGACTGACAGTAAGGATGATGTGGTGGTGACACGGAGACGGGTGTGGCGTATGGAGAGGTGGGGAGATTTACATCAAATAATCAAAAAAAGTGATTGTAAGGATTTAGAGCATCTGTTACGTGTGGGTCTGGATGTCAATCAGTGGATAGAGCTGTATTATGATTATCATGATTGGTTTGATGAGAGACTGATTCATGAGGATGATGTGAGACCCCTGCTGTTTACACTGATTGATGAGTATGGTTTTGATGACAGATTAGTGGATGAAGTGAGGTTTCTCCTGGAGGCGGGGGTGGATGTCAATGTCAGGGTGAGGTACAGTGAGTGTGATTCTGTGTTAGACAGCGAGTATAATTCTGTGTTAGACAGAGAGGGGGTGTCTGTTCTAGAGAGGACACGGCGACTGGTGAGTAAGTTTCGAAAGAATGCGTTGTTAAGAGATAAAGTGTTTAATTACACAAGAGTGATCAAGGAGGTGAAGAAACATGTAAGACGATACTCTATGTAGAAAATTTACAGAACTCTTAATTAATATGAGCGTACATATTACCATAATCCTACTGTAAAAAACTGAAGGGTAATTTTTGATAGGGTTCAAATGTTTTATCAATACTATTATATGAAGTATAGAATGAACAGAAGTCTTAATTACTATGAGTGTAGATATTACAATAACCCTATTGCAAAACACTGAAGGGTAATTTTTAGGGTTTAAATGTTTTATTTAATACTCTTTAGTATAGATTGAACATTACCGTGTCTCAGTGAAAAGATTGAAATTGGGCTAAAGAAAGGACATGGAGATAATAAACAACACTAAATAATTTGTAAGGTGGATTCATGTTATTTGATATAGCTGGTAAACGTCAATGCATATTTCTCATCCTAGCGATTTAAACTCATTTTAATAATTTGAAATACATGTATTCGACTATTTAGACTGTGAATGAGAGATTTGTATCATTGTATTTCAATGTATATAAATGTTTATAAGACTAAATGTAGTTTGTATATTGTTCAATGTATATGTATGCATTGTTTTACAAATTAAGGGATTTTTAATCAATATTTTTTATCAATATTGAACAAATTGTGCAATTTTACTTGCCACTGTAAATTATTTTCTTGTCAATTGTTTTTTGTATTATTAATAATCCCAATCGATATCTTTATTTACCAAAACTGATATGGTCCATGCAAGATCTCTTGATATTTGTGTCACCTTTTCCAATTTCTATCATCTAAAAAATTATTTAATTATTTCTAATTATTCATATTTGAAAATTACAATATTTTAATGTAACACTTTATTTCTGTGAACTTGTATATTATTAAAACCCTGAATTTGTTGTGTTATGTGTTTTGTTTTTGTTATCTGCATTTAAACCAGGGTTGTTCGAAAAGTTTCACTGACATTGTCTATCTTTGTTGTTTTTTTTATTTTTTTATCAAGATAATACTATAAATGTACCTTATTAATGGAGCAAACTTGCCAACATAGTCACATAAAAAAAGAAGAAGACTTCTTTATAAAAGGTATCCTTAGCGAATTTATTCTGTATTTCTATATGGTCCAATTTCTATTCATCAAAACATTTTTTTTTTTCGTTAAACATTTATTTTGCTAACAACGAAGCGCGTATCTCTTTCCCTGACAGCGCTTACTCTAAGGATTTGTTAAGATTTTTACCGATATCTTGTGTATATCGACAACTTTATGAGGGGTGCCCCTAACCCTTAAATGGATCCTACGGCCATGCATGATTTGATTTCCAATAACTATTCTGACTATTTTTTTTTACTTATTAAAAATCCTATTGAATCTAACAGTGATAAGCTATGAAGAGATCGAAGCATTTCCTAGATCCATTTTGACTGTTAATATGTAAATGAAAAGGCCATGACATTCAGGGATGCAATTCAAGATTGATTAAAAATCTAAACTGAATATCCACACAGAATGTTCCGTCGACCTGACTAATACATTGGGCCATGGACGGGTGTGTGTTCCGTCGACCTGACTAATACATAGGGCCCAGGGCGGGTGTGTGTTCCGTCGTCCTGACTAATACTTAGGGCCCACGGGGGTGTGTTCTGTCGACCTGACTAATACATAGGGCCCACGGGGGTGTGTTCTGTCGACCTGACTAATACATAGGGTCCAGGGCGGATGTGTGTTCCCTCGACCTGACTAATACATAGGGTCCAGGGCGGATGTGTGTTCCCTCGACCTGACTAATACATAGGGCCCACGGGGGTGTGTTCTGTCGACCTGACTAATACATAGGGCCCACGGGGGTGTGTTCTGTCGACCTGACTAATACATAGGGCCCACGGGGGTGTGTTCTGTCGACCTGACTAATACATAGTGCCCACGGGGGTGTGTTCTGTCGACCTCACTAATACATAAGGCCCACGGGGGTGTGTTCTGTCGACCTGACTAATACATAGGGCCCACGGGGGTGTGTTCTATCGACCTGACTAATACATAGGGCCCACGGGGGTGTGTACTGTCGACCTGACTAATACATAGGGTCCACGGGTGTGTGTTCTGTCGACCTCACTAATCCATAGGGTCCAGGGCGGATGTGTGTTCCCTCGACCTGACTAATACATAGGGCCCACGGGGGTGTGTTCTGTCGACCTGACTAATTCATAGTGCCCACGGGGGTGTGTTCTGTCGACCTGACTAATACATAGGGCCCACGGGGGTGTGTTCTGTCGACCTGACTAATACATAGGGCCCACGGGGGTGTGTTCTGTCAACCTGACTAATACATAGGGCCCACGGGGGTGTGTACTGTCGACCTGATAAATACATAGGGCCCAGGGCGGGTGTGTGTTCCGTCGACCTGACTAATA